GACCCAGATGTAGTTTTTCATAGCCTTTGGAAACACAGTTACCTGTTAGCAGCCATGGCCATTGACTGCTACGTGACCATATGTAATCTCTTCCACTACATCACCGTTATGAGTCACAGATGTTGTGTCTTGCTTCTGATTCTCTCCTTCTGCATTCCACATTTACACTCCCTCCTGCACATTCTTCTGACTAATCAACTCATCTTCTGTGCCTCCAAAATCATCCATCACTTTTTCTGTGATGATCAACCAGTGCTAAAATTGTCCTGTTCCTCCCATTTTGTCAAAGAAATCATGGTAATGACAGAAGGCTTGGTGGTCATAATGACCACCTTTTCATGCATCATCATCTCTTACTTAAGAATCCTCATCACTGTTCTAAAGATTCCTTCAGCAGCTGGAAAGCATAAAGCGTTTTCTACCTGTGGCTCTCATCTCACAGTAATGACCCTGCTTTATGGAAGCATTAGCTATGTCTATTTTCAGCCCCTGTCCAACTATACTGTCAAGGATCGAATAGCAATGATTATTGACACCATATTGACTGCAATGCTAAATCCATTTATCTATAGTCTGAGGAACAGAGACATGAAGCAGGGTTTGACAAAGCTGATGCACAGGTTGAAATGTCAATAAAAGACCTGAGGTCTTAAGAGAATATCACAGATGTCTTGCTTTTGACTATAGGTTATTAATGGGTATGTGATTAGATTCTGAAAGGATAGTACCTTCAATGATGGTGTTTCATTTCTTATAGAAGAATGTTTATTGGATGTGTTGAAGCTACTCCTGAATATAATGCCTACCAACTAAGTTTGATCACTGTAATCTCCTGAGTATCCCTATTCATGCTGCTGGGTTTCCTTCTGTAGTAATGTAAAGCTGCTTGAAGGTCTTTGAGCTACTGTGTGTGTGTGTGAGAGAGAGAGACTTCATCATATTAGCCCAGAGGCTCCTCAATAATGAGGTCTCTTTCTCCCATTGTAAATGTCAGAATTGTGACTCCTTCCTCTGCATTTCCTCAGAGATTAAAGCCTGGCTTCTATAGTTGTCATAGTCTCAACAAATAAAATCATTCCACTAGATAACTCTTAGTGAATCAGTATCAGGTCATGTTCCTAAGAGGCATGACATCTCATTATTCTTCCTACTTCCCACCTGGCAAAGCTGACTGTACCTTAGTCTCTCATTAATTTCATTTGACCCAAACTCAATTGCACCGTTTTCCCAGGAAGTAAGCATTAGGTCCCAGTAATCTTAGTAGCAGATGACTCCAACTGCTGGGGTAGTTCTTTTTCTTAACAGACTTAAGATAGTCCTCTAGCCAGAAAAACTGATTGGGTAGGAAAAAATACTTTTGCTCATTTGTGAGTCCTAAGAAATATTAATCACTGCTAGTCCATGAATTATTTTGCAAGTCAGAGATTTATGAATTCATTTGCTCTTTCAACAAATTTCTACTTCTGATACACCAATGCACCAGCCTACTGGACTTAAAAACAAAGATAATGTGCTACATGATTTAAGTCAATAATCTGAAGGCCAAAGATTAGCAGGGCCTAAGGAAATAAAATAACACAGGCAATACAAGCTTTTGGAAGGCAATTTCCTGTTAATTGGATTGTTGGAGGTTTGCAAGGTAGGGAGAAACACAAAATTTTAAGTAACAGGTGTCAAATAAAAGTCAAATCTGGTCTTAGGTAAGGAGAGATTTTTTTGGAAGGATTACTGCAAAAGGGGCACATGGTCTATAGCAATAATGCAAGGGAGACTATTGCACTAGGGAGAATGCCTCCATTGTGAGACCAACAAAACTGTCAAATGTCAGACAGAAAAGAAATTTTCTTTCATAAAGAGAAGTGAACATGAATGAGGCTAGAAGGAAACAGATATGCAGAAGTGGGATGAGCCAGTGGCAACAGGTCTGAAGAGTTGATCAAAGGACGTATTTTATCAGCTGATGCTCCAGAGGGTTCATTAAGAAGGGGTTATATGTTAACTCAGATTGAGAGTGGGTTGAAGTTCATTCCTTTCCAGAACATAAAACAGTGGAGGGATTTCTTGAACTGTCACTGTTTTCCAGGAGCACAGGGCTCAGGTAAAGTTCAACATTGTCACAGGGATTTGCTGTAAGAATTTACAAGGTAAAAAGAAGACATAAATCTCAGCTGCACAGCCACATCTCACAGAGGAATAAAAAGCATGGCTGGGCTCCACAGAATTGGAAGGTAATTCAGGCTCTGTAAGGCTACTCAGGGAAAAACACAAGATTAATGAACATGTCATTTTAAGACACTACCACATTAAGTACAAATAAGGGGGCCATGGTTATGAGAATTACACAAAAGATAAGAGGCTTCTCTCTAAAACCCTCTCATGAGGGATGTATGGGAGAGAACAGTCAATCAGCTCGAGTTAATTGGAGATTATGTGGTGATAAAGTAAACATGGAAACTTCCCAGAGACATATTTGTCAGAGGATATTTACAACAGCTACAAATGCTCCCTTAATGCAAGTATAACTGCCCCCTCCTACAAAAAATAAACAGCCAAACCTACTCCAAACATCTTAGCAAACCATACACCACACAGGGACTGGCCTGCCTTATTTAAGTAACTGGAGAAAGACTCAGTTACATCTGGGTCAATATGGAAAATAACAGAAGCAAAAGCTTGCAGGCATTGGTTATCAAAGATTATAAGCCTCTGGGATTTGCAGAAACATTGGCAAATAGCTTAAACTTCCACCAGCCAAGCAATTGACAGGTTCCTGAATTCAATCTTACCTGAATGTTCAGCAGAGGGATGCTGCTGATCTTCACACTGTGTAATAACAGCCACCAAGCACTGAGCTGCAAAAGGTACTGCAATGCAGCCCTTTACATACATTATCATACTAACTTTCTACCTACTTTTTGAGGAAAGTACAAATTTATTATATCCATATGTCAGATGTGATGAGAATCAGAAAGTACAAATAACTTGTTGAATATCAAACAACCCTTAACATCATATATGAGAACTTAAACTTGTTCTGAAAATTGTATTTTTTGCCCCTAACTCCTATCCTGCCTCCCTAAAGGTACCTGTGTATCCATAAAGACAAATTTCTTCAACTTACTAATTTCTTTAAAAAAAAAAAAAACAAATCTAGGTCAGTGAGAAGGAGCTTTATTTTTATTCTTAAAAACAGAAACCCAGAGGCGCAGATGACCACAAGGACATAAACTTCCTAAAACTCTGCAAAATTCTCCATAATAAGTTGAACTTCTGTGTGTTGTGAAATGGGAACATTGAGTCACATTTACTTAGCTCTGAAGGGGCAGAAAATCCCTCAGTGATAGCTGTATCTGTTGAGTGGTTTTATGTGCCAGAACATAAAACATTTAAAACATGTTTTAATGATCAGAATAATACCATGTATAATATTATTATCTGATAGTAACACTATCATCATGGCCACTTTAGAGATGAAGTAGTCAAGTTTCAGAGGAGTTAAAAGACTTCCCCAGCTATGACATAAACAATATGGAAGAATAGGAGATACCAGCCTTTATCTGCCCACCCCACCCCCGCTAAAGATCAAATATAGACAGCAATTCACAAACCAAAATAATCCAGAGAGTGATCAAGGGGCCCCTTAAGAATCTGCAGGAACACAGTGGTGCAAAAAGAAAAATAAAAAGGAGAGGAATATATGCACATGAAGGATCACTTGTGAGATCAATGTACCTGAAACACCTAGAGATGGCCAGGTGCAAAGAGAAAAGCCAAAGTCATTGGTATCAGGCACATTGTGGGAGGCACCATGGTCCCTAGTGAACTGCTCTGCAGAAAACTTTGGCACTTTTGTCACTAAGGGAACCAAAAGTCATTCCTGCCAGGGAACCCCAGAGAGGAAGACTTGGCTTCACCCACACACACCCAAGAAGTAGCCACCATTGTGCTATGCCAGAACCAGAGCCACCACTCCTCTCAACCCCAGATATGTTCCTGGCCACTAAAATGCAGCTTCTCCATGAGTGCCTGCATTCCAGATCTTGGCTCTGTGGTTGTATATCTACCCATGCCTCAGATATCAGAGCCATCACTATAGCAAGCTAGTTTACACGCTGCACCCCAGAATTAAGGTCTATCTGCATGTATTCACATGCCAGATGTCAGCCCAGCCACCACAGAGAACTAGTGCATGACCTGGAGCCTGGAGCTACTATAACTCTGCACAGGTCCATGTCTCCCTGCCTGCTTCATAAGCACCCATGCCTTGCACATCATTACCAACACGACAACAGGGATATCTGCACCCTGGCCACTAGTGCCTTTGCTGCTGTGAACTTCAAAGCCATGGTCTTTCCACACATGCCTGTGCTTTAAGCCTTGGCTCACTTGCTATTCCATGGGTACTGCTCATCAGACACCAGTATTGCTGCCAGTGTGGGCAGGCCCATGAGCCAAACCCAGTGGCACTAGACATCCTTTAGGTCATGGTTCCCCAAGTAAGAGAAAAAGACTTCAGGAGAACTTGAACAGCCATAAACACCAAATACATCAAAAGCCCTTACTGCTGCTGCAGGCACTTACATCATTGATCACTGCCCTGTAAACCTTATCAACACTGGCCACAGCTGACATAGCTATACAGAGACTATGCTGCTGCACTCTCACCAGAGTCAGAATTGCTGCACCCTACATAGCCAGCACCCTTGCATGTTTCATCAAACACCACATGTTCTCACTCATAGGTGGGTGTTGAACAATAAGAACACATGGACACAGGGAGGGGAGCATCACACACTGGGGTCTGTAGGGGGGAAATAGGGGAGGGACAGTGAGGGGTGGGGAGTTGGGGAGAGATAGCATGGGGAGAAATGCCAGATATAGGTGATGGGGGGAAGGAAGCACATCACACTGCCATGTGTGTACCTATGCAACAATATTGCATATTCTTCACATGTACCCCAAAACCTAAAATGCAATTTTAAAAATTGAAAAAGAAAAAAAGAAGAAGATCCTGGGGCTACAGTATCAGTTTCTACATCATCAGAAAGTATTCCAAGAACTTCCACATTGTGCTTGTTTGGCATCATCACAAGCTGCTGACCTTTACAAATAGATCCTGATTCCAGCTTTCCCAGGACCACAGTGCCCATATCCTTGTACTTATCCACAATTGGCAGCCTGATTGGTCCATCAACTGATCTACTGAAGTTTGGCAAATTATCCAGATACAGAATAAACGGGAATCCAATGTACCAAGGACAGAAATCTGACTGCTCTTTGAGATTTGCTCCAATAAGTCCTGAGCAGGGCATGAAGTGAATGTCCTTTTTGGGACTGAAGCCAACTTTTTTCAAAAATGGCACTAGTTTCTCTTTACATTCTTCATATCTCTCATTGCTCCAATTTACCGTTGGATCATACATCTTATTAATTAGCACAATTAAGTGTTTTACACCTGCTGTCTTTGCCAACATTGCATGTTCTCTTGTCTGTCCTCCTTTTTCAAATCCAGTTTCAAACTCTCCTTTCCTGGCTGAAATTACCAGCACAGCCAAATCAGCTTGAGAGGCACCACCAATCATATTTGGGACAAAACTCTTGTGGCCAGGGGCATCTAGAATTGGCCTTCCCCACCAAAACCATCCCAGAAATCAGACAGACAGAGGGGATTATTTCACAGCCTTGAAAAGTTTGAGTGTGTAGTCTGGATGGCAAGCAAATTCAAGCTTTAACAGAAGATCACAAGAAGCATGAAAAATAAGGGAAACATATAATCACAAAAAGAATATAATAATTTCCCAGTAGCTGACCTCAAAAAATAGCAATTTCTGAACTGCCAAAGAATTCAAAATAATTGTTTTAAGGAATTTCGGCAAAGTCCAGAAGAAGACAGAGAAAAAAAAATTCAACAAAATCAGTAAGACTACATATAAAGATGAGAATATTATAGATTGAAACCATAAAAAACCAACAAGAAATTCTAGAGCTGAAGAATACATAAGTGAAATAAAAATTCAATGGGGAATACAGTGAATGGAATAAAAATGAAATAGTGTCAATGGCAGGTTTAATCAAACAGAATAAAAGCCTGTAGAATTGAAAACAGGTTATTGGAAAATATACAATCAGAGGAGAAAACATGAAAACAAATGAAGAAAGTGTATGGGGTGTATAGAATAACATAATGATAGCTTTCATCTGCTTTATAGAATGTAAATAATGTGTAGAGAAAGAAAACGGGATAGAAAGGTTATATAAAAAATAATGGCTTAAAACTTACAAATCTGGGAAATGATATAAATGTGCAAGTACATGGGAGTCCAAGGTCTTCAGTCAGATTGAATCCAAATATGACTACCACAAGACATGAAATCAAATTATGAAACAAAAAAAAAACAAAGGGAGGATCCCAAAAGCAGCAAGGGAAAAGAAACATTATCACATTTAATGGATTTCCAATAAGGTTAGCAGCATGCTTTTCAGCAGAAAACTTACAGACCAAGAGAGAGTGGGATGACACACTCAAGGTAGTGAAAAAAACAAAACAAAACTTCCAACTAAGAATATTGTGACCAGCAAAGCTATATTTTAGTATGAAGAAGATATAAATACTTTCCCAGAAAGGTAAAAGCTGATGCAGTTCATTATTCCCAGAGCTGCCAACAAGAAATGCTAAGAAGAGCTCTTCAAGCTGGAAAAAAATGATACTAAATAGTAACATGAAAATATAAAACTCACAGGTAAAAGTACATTGTCAAATTCAGAATAGTCTAATTCTGTAATGTCTACATAAACCAGTCATAATTTTAGTATGAAGGTTTAAAGACAAAACTATTAAAAATAATAACAGCTACAATAATTTGTTAAAGGATACACAATTTAAAAAAGGAGGTAAATTGTGACATCTAAAACATAAAATGGAAGGGGCAGAAGCATGAAAGTGTTATTTTTTAATGTAATTAAGTTTAAGTTGTTATCATCTTAAAATAGCTTGTTATATATAACTATAGAATGTTCTTAAGTAAGCTTCATGGTAACCACAAAACAAAAACCTATAGTAAATGCAAAAAGTGAAAAAAATAAGGAATCAAAAGAAACTACAACCACAACAAAAAATTACCAATTGAAGACACAGAAAAATGAAACTAGACCCTTATTTCTCACCATATACAAACATCAAATCAGAATGGATTAAAGATTTAAGTCTAAGACCTCAAGAAAATATTGGCAAAAATGTCCAGGACATTGGTCTGTGAAAAATTTTTTGAGCGATATCCCACAAGCACAGGCAACCAAAGAAAACATGGACAAATGGAATCACATCAAGTTAAAAAGCTTCTACACAGCAAAGGATACAATCAGCAAAGTAAAGAGACAACCCACAGAATGAGAGAAAATCTTTGCAAACAACATATCTGATAAGCAGTTAATATTAATATCCAAAATATATAAGGAACTCAAATAGTTCAATAGCATAAAGGCAAAAATTGGTTTCAAGGTGAGCAAAGGACCTGAATAGACAATTCTCAAAAAAAAAAAAAAAAGACATACAAATGGCCAACAGGTATATTTTTAAATGCCCAACATTACTAATCATCAGAGAAATGTAAATTAAAACCACAATGAGATACTACTTCATACCTGTTAGATTGGCTATCAGCAAAAAGTGAAAAGATAACTATTGCAAAGATGTAAAGAAAAGGAACAGTTACACACTGTTAGAGAGAAAGTAAATTAACATAGCCATTATAAACAACAGTATGGAAGATCCTCAAAAAACTGAAATTATTATTATTTTAGACAGAGTCTCGCTCTGTTGCCCAGGCTGGAGTGCAGTGGTATGATTTTGGCTCACTGCAACATCCACTTCCCAGGTTCAAGCAATTCTTCTGCCTCAGCCTCCCAAGTAGCTGGGACTACAGGCTCACACCATCACGCCCGGCTAATTTTTATATTTTTAGTAGAGATGGGGGTTTCACCACATTGGCCAGGCTGGTCTCAAACTCCTGACCTCGTGATCCACCCACCTCGGCCTCCCAAAGTGCTGGGATTACACATGTGAGCCACTACCCCCAGCCAAAAAACTGAAATTGTTGATACAGGGGTTAAAAAGAAATTATTTAGGCAGTTAGCAAGGGTGAAAGAGTTCTCGGTGGGAATTTTCCTTTAATAAAAAGCAGCCCCCAAATCATTTCTTTTCTGATAAAAAGCAGCCTGAAAAATCAAGTTGCAAGCATAGATAAGCAAGCTGGAACCTTACATAGGTAAATGCCAGCAGCTATGCCAGATGACAGGTATATCCAACATGGCAACTCCCTCTTCCCTTTTTCTTGTTGCCAGGCATGTGAGAGTCACAGCCAGCCAGGTAAAGGCCCCATGTGCGTAATAAAAGATTAAAGTGGGGCGGCCCATTTCTTCAAGGGCAAATGGCACATCTGGTCAAACCAAAACCCTGAGCCCTATGTAAATCCAACACTGACTCCTCAAGCCCCTCTATAAAATTGACTACTAGCACCAAACCTGGAAACCCACTTGGATGCCCCCTTCCTCCGCATGAGAACGCTCTCTTTTTCTCTCTCTCTCTTCTTTCTTATGCCTACTAAACTTTCCACTCTTAAACCCACTCCATGTGTGTGTGTGTGTGTCGGTGTCTTTGTTCTCTTTACTGTGAGACAACAAACCTTAGGTATTTCCCCAGACAGCGAAACCACTTCAGTATAACTACCATAGAATTCAGCAATCTCATTTCTGAGTTTCCAACATAACTTAAATCAGTCTCTCAAAGGGATATTGCACCCCATGTTCATTGCAATATTATTCACAGTAGTCAAGATACAGAATCATCTTAGGTACCTATCAACAGATGAGTAGATAAAGAAAATGTGGTAGCTAGGCACAGTGACTCACACCTGTAATCCCAGCACTTTAGGAAACCAAGGCCAGAGGATTACTTGAAGCCAGGAGTTTGCAACTAGGTTGGGCAACATAGCAAGACACCATCTCTACAAAAAAAGGGTTTTTTTAGTTAGGCAGATGTGGCGGCACATTCCTGTAGGTCTAGCTACTTGAGAGGTTAAAGTGGGAGGATTGCTTGAGCCCAGAAGTTAAAAGCTGTAGTGAGTTTTGATTGCACCATTGCACTCCAGCCTGGGCAACATGGTGAGGAAAGAAAGAAGAAAGAAAGAAAGGAGGGGGGCACCAACACGACCGAGAGAAGCCAGCGCCCAAATGCAGCTCCCAGCAAATGAAACTCAGAGGGCTAGAGGACTTCACGATTCCAAATGAGAAGACGGGTTCCTTTCTGTGGGGCTGATAGGGCCCTGAATTTAGGCCCAGGGAAGGAGCCGCAGGGCATGAGCCGCCCAGGAGGGCAAATCAAGATGGGGGAGGGGCGGGGCACGTCCCCACCTGAAATGTGCAGCCGGCTCGGAGGAGTGGGGTACTTAACCCCCACAGTGCTCCCTTTCAGATCCTGTGCTTACCTCATCCTTCCTGCAACCCAAGGTGCACAAGAGCCCTGACAGATGGTGGGACACCAAGGGTAGTCGATGCAAATCTGAGCAGCCGCTACCACTGGGCATTCAAGTTGTCCCAGGGTCCTGGGAGGGATTTTGGACTAGGCAGCGGGAAGGAACGTCCCACTGAGGGAGGCAGAGTTGAAAGCAGAGAAACAGACCATAAGGCCTGGCAGGCCCCACCTCCACAGAGCTCAAACTGAAGCCCTCGCTAGAGAGTTAGGCAGCAAATACACCAGTTTGACCCCAACCAGGAAGTTAAAGCTCTGGAAGAAACGCCATTGGGAAGGTGGGGCCAATCTCACCTGCAAACAAACCCCAGGGAAGGACCACCCACCCAACAACCTGACTGAACCTGAGAGAGCCCAGCAACATCCTCTACTGGCCAAAAAAGATACACCTCCAACCTCAGTAGAAAAAAGCCCACTCAGAGACTCCTCCTGAAATCACCAACTTCAAAGATTAAAGGGAGATAAATCCACGAAGATAGAAAAAAAAAAAAAAGCACAAAAAGGTTGAAACCACCGAAGAACAGAACACCTCTTGTCCTCCCAGGGATCACAACTCCTCACCATCAAGGGAACAGAAAAAGACAGAGAATGAATCTGACGAATTGACAGAAGCAGGCTTCAGAAGGTGGGTAATAACAAACTTCTCTGAGTTAAAACACCATGTTCTAACCCAATGCTAAGAAACTAAGAATGTTGAAAAGAGGTTAGATGAAATGCTAACTAGAATAACCAGCTTAGAGAAGAACATAAACGACTGGATGAAGCTAAAAAACACAGCATAAGAACTTTGTGAGGCATACACAAGTTTCAACAGCTGAATCGATCAAGCAAAAGAAAGGATATCAGAGATAGAAGATCAAATCAATGAAATAAAATGAGAAGGCAAGATTAGAGAAAAAAGAGTGAAAAAAATGAACAAAGCTTCCAAGAAATATGGGATTATGTGAAAAAACCTAATCTACACTTGATCAGCGTACCTGAATGTGACGAGGAGAATGAATCCAAGTTGGAAAACGCTCTTCAAGATATTATCCAACAGAACATTCCCAACCTAACAAGGCAGGCCAGCATTCAAATCCAGGAAATACAGAGAACACCACAATGATATTCCTCAAGAAGAGCAACCCCAAGGCACATAGTTGTCAGATTCATCAGGTTTGAA